GCGTGCCAAAGGATCCCAGACCGCAGTGTGATCTCTTCTGGGATGCGCATGGCCTTCGGGCTGCGTCTTCCATTCCAAAGGTGTCCACAGATTGGCCTTCCAGTCATACTTGACGAGAATGGGATCCAGTATGGGGAAGACATTACGACCCGCTGCTGCTGCCCCCTTCTCTGTTGCGTCGATTCCCCCATAGACCAGCAGGAGCTGCTTCTCGGCATCCCAAACAGCTGAAGCAGAGGCTCGGCCCAGCTGGTCCGGAAAGTTTTGACTCTGCCAAGTGCTCTGGTTGTTGACATCGCTGACCTCCTCCGTCAGGCAAAGCCTCCATCCTTGCTCACCACGGGTTTTGTCAGGGGCCCATTTGATGAGACCTTGCGGCGGATCCAGGGGATCTGCAGAGGTGTAAGTGCCGCTGTACACGCGCCCATTGATCTCCAAGTAATCATAACCGACCTCTGTCACAAATGTCGACACACGGAGATACTTTGAATTGTTCACATCCACGCTGATTGTGCACCCATGCCGGTCATATTCATCAGGGAAGTTCGGACTCATTATGCAGCCATTTGCGTCCACTGCGCACATCCCGCTGAGGACCTTCCATGCGAATGTCGAGTTGGCCTCAGGGACGGGGGCTGCCTGCTCATCGAGGCACAAAGCGAAGCCTCGCATAGGAGGACCTTCCACTCCATCTGTTGACCAAACGATGTCACCTGTTGGGATGACACCTGACGGACCATCGTAGCCGCTGTAGTTTACGCCGTTGACAACGAGAACGTCACCAACATCCGTTTCAAAATCCATCATTTTGATGAACTTGGTGTTGTCGGTAGCCACCCTGATGATACATTCCTCATTTTTTGAATAGGCCCTGGGGTTACTTTCACTCGTAGGACGGTAGACGCAACAAAGACCGCCTCCACATTCTGCCGAGCCATGGCCACTGTAACCGTACACGTAGGAGCCATATTGGCCGTAGAAGAACGGGCCATAGCCGTAGGTCCCGTAGGAGTAGTTTCCTCCGTAGCCGCCATAGCCGTAGGTCCCGTAGGAGTAGTTGCCTCCGTAGCTGCCAGAGCCGTCATCGCCATAACCATAACCATAGTTGCCATTACCATCGCCGCCAACAGACCCTCTATAAACAAGGTCGTACGTCTCGCAGGGCCCCGAGACCACCGTGAGTAAGCTCGCTTGGCACGGGGCAAATTGCGCTAACCACAGAGCTGTTACTCCAACAGTCCAAGGCAAGGTGCACTGCTGGGACGGACCCACAAACCTCACCATACCAAACATGGCAGACCCTAGGACTACAGCAGCCATCCAACTTGTAGCCATATGAGGCCACGGGTTGAGACTTGAGACTTTAGCCGAAGGAAGCGTGCTGAGTTCGGAGATGTTTCGGCAGCGATGGCCTCTCGGTTTTGCTCTGCTGGCAGATCTTAACTGGCAATTCCGATGCATGGAAGCTATGTCGTGCTAAATGAGTAGCCCAAGGCTACCCTCCTTCGGGACATCGGTGCCTTGAGGAATTGCGCGCGCACGTGGGAGCTTGCCATCTGTTGCGGCCTCGCAAATCCCAGTCGTCGACAGTGCAAACACCACCCTTCGGCCAAGGTTCCTTGGCTAAGACGCAAACTGTCGACTTCTGGCAGCTTCCACTTCCACATCACCTGAGTTCAGAAATGCGAAGCGACATTGTTTTGGCAGCTTTTGTTGGTTGAGGCCACTGCTCGTTTGCAAGGATTCCCAGAGGCCTGGCGCAAATCTGACACGAGCCGATGGTTCTTCAGAGCCTTATAAACCTTGCAACAGCATGCCACAACTGGTTCAGGCGTCTTATTGCATGGACCGAGCAGTCCCACCTGCTTTCTGTGTTGCTTCGTGAAGCTGCGCCAGTGCCTCACTCGTGATAGCATCCGATCTTGTCTTTGCACCGCGTCGCTGTTGCCTGTTTTCATTCCCGGGCCTGAAGGATTGCGATGATGCCGGGTTCAGTTCTCAAGTAAGTCTGCGCCAACAGCACTTGGTTCTATACCACTATGTGAGGCACTGCCGGGGAAACCAATGAGTCGAATTGTGCAGTGCGTGGCACACATGCTGCTGTGATATCGCGCTTTGCCACGGTGGAGCCCTGTCTCGCGCTGCGCTCGCTGCGGCTCCCGGGCCTTCTCGAGGCCTTTCTCGTAGGCGGCCTTCGCAACGGCACTTGTACTAGCGCTGCAGTCACTGCAGCCAATGGACGGTGCCTACACAAACACACCACAAACTCTGCTGCTGCTCATGAATACATATGCAACGTCCTGCTGCAGTGGACGTGTCGATCCAAACATCGGAGACAGTTCTCACAAATCGGTGCAGCCTCCGAACTCCCCACTCATCGCTGCAGACCAGGCCTTTCTGGCTACCTCGCGAGCGGCGGCACCGCCCAGAACAGGCTTCGGGACGACCTGAAACAGGCACAGAAAGAGCTGCAATGCTGATAACTGTAGGAACATTCCCGCCCGGAGCCCACTCGGACCTTCGGTTTGGGCTTCTTCGTACCTTGCTTGGACTTCCGAGGCTCAGCAAAGAGGTGTTTTGACCATGTGCTAGGGCCCCAGCTTTGCAAGCCGAAGTTCTTGGAGGATTTGATTGCCTCCGAGGCAGCGAGGACCCTGTTTTGGGCCCGCCCAGGCAGCGAGGTTTTGCAGGGCTCCGTGAATTTGAGCGTCGTAGCTTCTGAGCTTCAGCCAAGGAAAACACGAGTTTTGTCTCAGGCGCAGACCTCGATGAACGCCTCACTTGTGAGTCCTCAACCATGCAATCTTTGGATACGTGCGGCACTCATGACCAGACGACTGCGGCAGAAAGAGATGTTGTTGCTAACCTGCCAGAATGATTCTCGTTTTTATACCGCTATCGCCATGGCTCCCACACAGAAGCCGACTCTTGGCACCCCTCGCTTGCTCGTCGCCTTCGCCGCTACCCTCCGCGAACTGGCTGACGGCGTCCTGAGAAGAGCTTCAGGCAGCAGACGGCTGTTGTCACGGCTAGAATCCGGTACCAATTAACGAAACGAGCAGCTTTTCGAGCCAGGGCCTCCGAAGTGCTGACGGCGATGGCGCGATGGCGCGGGCTGGGGCCCGCGCGAAAGCTTCCTCGAAGGCCTTCTTGACAGCCTCGATCAATCTTCCGAGCTTGGTCACGATGGCCTGATTGCCTATCCGCTCCGGACTCTCGCCTGCTGCTCCTTGCTTGGCAGGGTGTTCTGGAGACCTCGGTGTAACATGACACAGACGAGAACTGCAAATGTGAAAGGCCCTGTGCGATGTGGAACGGGAAGGCGCAAGGAATCATGGAAACAAGAGTCGACAGTGTGTCCTGAGGAAGCACCGGAAACAGGTGACCGCAGTCAAACACGGGCTTGTGGAGAAGACTTGAGACACTGCAGGGTGGGCTCGAGCTGCCGTTGACCACATTTAATGGGTTCGACGGTTGCAGCGACGACAAGCTTGGCAGCCACGGCATGAACTCGCAAAGCCCTCTCCTGCAAACAGCCCTTCACAGGCACTTCAGAATCGCTCCTCCGACAAGCCTGTTCCGAGCACCTGGCTCTCGCTCGCTGTGACTTTGAACATCTCCTCTGCTTGCGAAACGGAATCTCTACACGCGCTGCCACGCCGCTACCGCCGCTACCGCTGCCACCGCCGTCGAGTCTTTGCTGACGCCGTTTCCCCGCACGCGCCCGCCGCCCGCCTTGGGAGTATGCACAGCCAAGGTCTCGCAGCGCCTCAGCGCTCTCAGCGACGCTCCCAAGTCGCACTTCCCAATTCCTAAACCCCGAGGCTTGCCTGCTGCTTGGCCCCTTGGCGAGCGGCTCCTCTTCCGACTTTCGGCGCTCCAATGAAAATTGGGAGGGTTTGGGGAGCAACTTGGCCACCCGGCGCCCCGTGCGCCCGGATCATCCTCTCCCGCAGGAGGTTCAAGTTTCGCTGCGTCCTTGGCATCTGTCGGCATCTAGGATTTCATTCTGCAGTTGTGCAGTGGACATCTTAGCGTACGTGTGCGGCGTCGAGGTTGAACTAGGGGCTTCGGGATTGGGGATGAGGGCACCCTGAGCTCTGCGCAAGACCCGCTGCAGATCGACCTCAACTCGTAAGGGCACGTCTCGGATTCAGAAAATATGCGTCTTGGCCTGGACATTCATGTGATTCATGCCTTCTTCTTCACTGTACTTGCAATCCATGCATACAAGCTCGGTAGGTGTATTGAGCTCGGTTGATACTAAAGACTGAAAGAAACAACAATACCAGGTTTGAAACACGCGAACCTCCTAGTGGAAACTGTTCCGACGTGGTCAAGCCTCGGGTGTGAAGGTGCCGTTTTGCCACATGAGCTGACAGTTCTAGTTGGTGATTGGCTTCGGCAACTTGTTCCAGCAAGAACTGTTGGCAAGCTGCGAATTTCATTTTGCTCCGGCCTCTGCGTCATCTCGTGAAGCACCAGTCCCCAGACCTGTGTCTGGGAACAGGCCACTCATAAAGCTCGGCAAATCCCAGTCCAATTCGTCTGGGATCCGGGGTGAGCCGCTCATGCAACAGCTCATCCGGCTCCGAATGTGCCCTTTACCGTGAAGCTACGCACCAGAGTTGGAATGCCAGAGCGTGGCATGTCTTGCCTGTCGTGTTATCCAACAGCACGAGTTCAAACAAGGCTTGGCCAAATCATGGAATTGCGATTCTCTTTGGTCATGGCAGAGGTTGCTGACTGCAACCTCCTAAATCAAAACCTTGTGCAAGGGAGCTTCTGACATGGAGTGTGACAGTGTGAGAGACCTTCCATCCAGTGCCCGGACTTTCAAGTCTATACCCATGGCTTGCTCTAATGCGCTCGAAGGCTATCAGCACTCCTCTGTCAGATTCTGACGAGCAGAAGTGTCCGCTCCAGATGATGAGATTTGTCCGGATGCGCTTGCGCAGAAAAAAGCCGGAAGCCATCACGCATGCGTGGTGATGGGCCTTTCACGAGAGGCTGGCTTGCACCTTGGCCTTGGCAAGCAAATAGGGGAATGCATGCAACATTTGGGCAGGAGCGTTCTCCCCAGCTTGCCTCCACATCTGATGGATTAAGGCCCGGACACCCTCTGCGATCTGGCCTAGAAACTCAGCTTGGAAGTCGGGTGCTGCAAGCTCTGTCACATTGGTGCAAGATTCAGAGTTCCGGTCAGCACCCTCGAGAAGCCCGAACCGCTTCGCTGGCCTCGCTCAACATCCCACATGTCGAAGGATGCTCCGATCTTCCAGCCGATGAGAGGCAGCGCCTTTGAGCCCATGTGAGCGGAATAGACCACGCTAAGGATAACACAAAGAGAAGACCAGCTTCGCGAGATCGCTCGGAGGCAGCAAGCTTCTGTTCAGCCAAGCTGCATTCTCGAGTTCCGCCTCCTGTTTGCAAGCAGTCGTTGGGTTACTAGCGTTCCGAGAAGGGAGTGGTAGAGCTGCCAGTTTCTCTAGTAAGGTCGTCGGCACTGTGACTGTGTTTGCAGACGCCTGGGCACCATGCAGTGTCTGTCACGGGCATGTGAATCCGCAAAAGATGCGAAGTGCCTTCAACCCTGAAAGCGCTTCGTCCCGCAAGTCACACTCCCCTTGCGCTCCGTGACGAGAGTGATGGAAGTTCCCGCAGCGCCCATGCGGCCCGTTCGTCCGGCGAGGTGGAGGTATTCGCCGGAGGCCTTGTAAACAGGGCTTTGCCAGTGTAAAACAGGAGAACGCCTGGGATGGGAGTGTACCGTGCCTTTGGGAGCTGTAGCTGGACCACGTAGCGAACGTTGGGGAGATCAATGCCTTGACACACCAGCCGTGGCCAAGCCCTTTTACACTTCTAGACAATCCTTACCTTTGGTTAGTAGGGAATAGAAGAATGGTAGTAATAGTAGTCATAATTGTACCCCATTCCTCCATTCCCTACTAACCAAAGGTAAGAATCTCTGTGATTCGACGGCCAATCGCGGGGTACCCGCCTCTGCCCTCGTGGACCTTCGCCACCAGAACGCGGCGATCTGCCTGGACGGGGCGGAGACCATTATGGCTCGTGTCGGTATTCGGGAAGCTTATGACCTTTTGACGGTGGTCGATACCACTAGCCAACGGGCTTGAGAAACCCACTTCAGAACGTAGCACGGTGGCGTGCGTGAGCGCATGAGAAGATGCTGAACATAGCCCGGCTCCTAGAGAACCACAAGACCCTGTCGATTCTGGTGTTTTTGAAAGCGGCGGCGCCTGCTCAAGATGGTCCACGAACTCCTGGCCCTGCTGCAGCGCTTGCAGCGGGCTGATGTCCTCGCCAGCTTTACGCGGAGTCTCTGGGCCCAAGCTGCCCCAAACGAGGCTCTAAAAGGTCCTGCTCGGCGGGTGGAGCTCGCCTGCCGAATTCTCACCACTGCGTAAGTGCCGCGCTTGAAGAATCAGGCGCTTCTTTGGTCCAAGTGGCTTGTTCGGATTTTTTCGGGGGTTTCGCTGAAAACCTCGGCTGTCCAAAGACTCTCAGCACCTTCCGAGTCTCAGTATCGCCGAGATGCTTGGATCCAGGGCCTTCTCCGTTGAGATGCCCAGACCGACCTTGCTTTTCGTGTCTTCTGTCGCACATCCCTCCCGAAAGCTAAGCTTGCAGTCGGGTGGCTTCGGAGCGATATTTGCACACATCCTCACGAGTTAGGATGATTCCCTCGAAAACCCGGGCTTGCCTCGAGGCTACACAGCTTCCCGTCACCATGACCCTCCCACGGTCCGGAATGCCGCCCTTCTGCAAAATCAGCACCATGGCATCCATTTTCACCTCGTGACAGAAGCAACTGCGCACTCCCTTAACAAGGTGCCAAAGGGAGAGAAAGCAATGGTCGGCAAGACATGTTGCAACAGAACCATCCCAGCAACATGCCGGGGTCTGCAGCCCAGGCACGTGCTCCGGGACGAAAAGGATCACCTTTGCAGAGCACAGGGGTTGTCGAGGACTGCTCCGGGGCACTGCCAGTACCATCTAAAGCTGCTTGCTCTGTCTGGAAATAGCTCGCACGTGCTTTTGGATCTTCGGTTCAGGCGGCAGTTTCCAGTTCTAAGCCACATCAGCCGGCAATGGTTTGTAGTCGGCTGCGAGCTATCATTAAGGCCGGGATGATTTGGTGATAGATTGGTCGAATCTTGGTGGTTCTTTGCTGCTGCTGGGGCCCGGATTACAAACCATAATGAGCATGGCGACCAGTGGAACCACTTGGCGTTGAAAATGGGCTCAACTTCAATGCATGACAAAGCACAGTGCCCTTCTCCTTCAAGTTCTTGACAATGTCCACCAGCAGTTTGAACCGTTCCTGGCCTGTCACGAGAATGCTGCCACCGCTGGCAATTTGCGCTGTGAGTGGGGCGAGTGTCAGGATCGTTCGAATCGTGTAATCTGTCAGGTCTCTCACGCTCCACACCCCTCCAACTTTCGTGCGATGCCGCACATATCCAACTGCAGGCTCGGCACTGAAGAAATTGCCCTGCTCCTTGCCCGTCACCACAGCCACCGCATGGGTTATGCCTTGGGCACTGGCAACATGGACCTTTGAATTCGGAAGCACCCAACTCCAAAGGACACTGGGGAATTTCAAGGGCGACTTCTTGGGGACTCCGACTTGAAGACAAGTGAATCTGAAGCCCTTTGACATACTTGCGACTGGGAGACTCGATGGCATCGGGACCTCGGAAGGTGCACAAAGGCTCTTTAGCTCTGCTTGTAGACTCTGGGAAGGGGGGGGTCCTAGCCAATAACCACAATAATGACGCCAATGATAATAATTCACAGAAATGACGGCAACCATAATGGTATTCATCATACAACTAGTGGTAATCATAATAACAATGATAATAGTAACTTGGGTCTCCGGAGCCAAGCGGCCACGGACTTCGTCAGCCCGGAGCCCCGCGCGCGGACCTTCCCGGGACTGGCGCCCACGCGGCCCACGGTGGCGTTGGCCCTCAGAGGGGGCTTTGAAAAACTTTGGAGGCAAAAGGGGCGAAGGCGGGGGGGGGTCTTGAGGCTAAGGCCACGGGGGCTTTCGGGTCATCAGCAAAAGGCCAAGCACCTCTGAACCATCACCAGACGGGAGCAGTGGGCTACAGCATACCGAAGCTGAACGCAAAAAAAAGAAACGGCAAATGAACCCAAGAGAGGGGAAAAAGCCCAACCACAACACAAATAAACCAAGGAATCAAAGCATAACGAAGAGGGACACCAGACGGCAGTGTGGCGGAATCCAGAGATCAAACTCTGCCTCTTGACAACGACTTTCACCGCAGCGTGCGCTTGAGTCGCACCGGAGAACATAAGGAACAGCGAATTGAGACACCGAAACACAGCCCGAACAACACCGAGTGACAAAGCGAGATAGCAAGAACGCACATGCACGGGCGGCCAGGACACTGGATAGCCTGGACCTACACCTACGAAAATCCGCACACCGAATCAATTTAGCAGGTGTTGTCTTTTCCGATTCATCGGAACACCGAGACATCGAACGACGAGACATGGTCGGGTTTGGCACATCCTGGGGTGGACGTTCGGAACAACTTGCGAATTTTCTTCCCGGCGAAGACGAAGCAGACCACTCTATCGCGACATACCTGAGAAGTGGTGATGTCAAGTGGGCACCTCCATCACATGTCATGTGCCTGATGAAGGGCTGCTCCACAGCAGAATTGAGTGCTAGGCCAAGAACCCAAGGCCCCAGACCCGTCTCTAACAAACACAGGATGCAAACGAAGTCCACCGGCACCCTCCTGGCTGAGGGCAGCGAAGCCAAGATCTCACTGCAAGTGGAGTCAGTGCTCTTGTTCTTAGACTTGGCTTCGTATTCAGAGATGGCCTCGAAGTGACATCACCTTTATGAGGAGGCCCAAACTGGGCCCAAACCCTTTTTTACATCAGGACTTGTGCAATCGCCTGAATACATGGACTTGGACCTTAAAAACCTTCTACCCAATTGCGAATGAGTTTTCGTGAAACAGCCGTGCCGAGCTGCTGGATCAGCTCTGGTGTCTGCCTCCTGGCCATGTCGCGCCTCTTGTTCCACTTCCTCGGATTTTTGTCGTCTCATTGCCTTCGTCAACTGCGCTGCTTGATTGAAAAAGCGTCACTGATACCAAGTCGCCAGGCCATCAGCCGATCCAGGAACTTCGATACTCTCTGGCAGTTTGCAGTGGCGGAAGCTGCGATCATCCTGACGGAATGCACTGCTTCAGCCATCAGAACCCGACGATGCCGAGCAATCCATCCGCTTGGAGAGGCTGGGGCTCCCCACCAAGGCCTTCACTAAAAACGACAAGCCCCGAGATCCCTTCGCCAAGCCGCTGAATCGGCCGATTCCGATATCGACTCCTCACCTGAGAAGATCAGATTTAGCGAGTTTTCGCACGGAGCTTCTTCAAGGTCTTGCAACCTTGACAAACCCTGGTATTTGCATCTTCAGCCATCAACCCAATTTCAGATGCAAGTGGCCACGTTGATGATGTAGGCCACGACCTGTCTGAGTTCAACTGGTATTGCAGCCATTAGCCCTGTGTGGCCGTCAGAGGACGAGGTGGGAAACAGTGCGGCCACAGCTCTCAGAGAGTTCTCACTGCAGAAACATGTCTAGGACGGTACTTGTCCCTGCAGCCTTGTGCCATCTCCCCCCGGTCTGACCCACCGAGACCCAGGAGTGCAAAAGCAAGAAACCAGAAAGGAACTGAGGAACTGTGCACCGAGAGAGCTCCCTCGTCTCCGGACTGCGGCTCTTTCGCTGCCGGTGGCTCTGTGGCTGTTGCTTCAGGTCAGGGCTTCCGTTTTTTTGTTCAGCAAAGTGGGGATCGGATAGGAACGGAAAGCCCGGCGCCTGCTCGGTTGCGCCAAAGCGCCGCGAGTTGTTTCCTGACGCTTCGAAGCTGTTGTTTTACTGGACTCCTGGCTTGTCTCAGTTGCTGTGCGTCCCTTGGACTGACTCCCTGTCGACACACAACAGCACGCCGAAACTGCCAGCTTCAAACTCGCTCAGGACTGGCGCTTTCAATTTGCACGGCTTCTCCTGGTCGCGGCACCGGCGTCAGCGAATCCACTTCGTCCACGACGATGGCCTGAACCTAAAGTCGCCCCGCTGACGCTTCTCTAGAGAACAAACACTTGAACGCCGCTGCTTCAAAGTCGTGAAACTATCAAGTCCAAACCGACCCACTTTAACTGCCGCGGAACATTGCTGGCCATGAAGTAAGCAAGGGTCTCTTTGAACCGCCTGCCTTCGAACTTTAGCTGCCGAATCTCGCTGAGGATCATGCCTCAGGTCAGTTCGATCACAGGACACTGGAGTCCATGTGCAACGAAGTAACGAAGTTCAGTCATTCAACGCACATCGAGCAATGTGTCTTGAAATCGCGGCTCTAACCCGACACCAAGGAAGACAAGCAGAACACATGATGCAGCTGGCACTCCTGGTGTGGAGACCATGATTGCAGAGTCCTGGGCCAAAGCATGCCCGACTTCTGAAATCTACTCCTGGACGGCTTGACTGCACAAGCACTTGTGCACTCCCTGCACTCTGCATAAGGGGCTGACCTGACGGATAGTGTCCCACAAGTTCGATCTCGACAGCAAGACGCTGCAGGCGAGTTCCTCACGTGGCAGAATGGCACAAACGTGACCCGAGACTTCGGAACCTGACGGTCTGAGTGAAACTCAACGAGTTCATGTAGAACTGCAGCACTGTTTGAACTTCCTGAGCGCTTAAGTTTTGTACAAGTCTGGGCCGTGGAGTGCCTAGTTCAATCTTCTCGGCGAGGCTGGTCGGTTTGTCCAGCCGCACATCATGACTTAGTGACGTGCGTCGTGCCGAATCATACTGAAACCTGTCAAAGCCTTAACATGCAAGGGTTGCCAGGGATCTGTGCCTTCTGATGCCCAACGACACCAGGCACACAAATCCCGCGGCGACGAACCGTCCAAACGGTTGCTGTACGTGCAGTCACACAACTCTGACACTTGTCCGGCTGCCTCCGGACCCGGTCCGGTATTAGGAAACAGGCAAACGAACAAAAAGGAAGCTAGGAAAGGAAACGAGTCAGGATCTGCGTCAAACCCCCAACTGCATAAATGGCAGGACTCTCAGGGAACAGACGAAATCTAGATCCTTGTCTAAAGCGATTAAAGCAGACTCGACCGGCTTCTGGTAGCCAGGAACCGGTGGATCTTTTCAGGTGCCTCTTGGCCCAAGTAGCTGGAAAGGTCTCGATTCTGGCTGTCACGGCACATGGGGTCTGCACCGAAGTAGAGCAAAAGAACCACCATGTCCCAGTCTTTCTGTTTCGCAGCATGGTGCAGAGGGAAAGTTCGTCGAAAGCCAAATCCGGTGCGCTTCGGTGAGTTGAGGTCTGCGACTGTGTGGCTGAAGCCATGCTTCCTCAGAAAGTCAATGACCCGGGACTTTGCAATGGTGCTCTGTGCTTGCGTCATCCGGCCTCTTTGTTCGGACCTTTGCTTCTTCATAGTCTGTAGTGCATCGACGGCTGCGGCCCCGTGGCAGCTGATGATCTCATCATCAGCTTCGAGCTTAAACCGCCCAGCAATCTTCTCAAATACGTGGAGAGAGCCCAATGCCATGAGGGATTTCGGGAGTGTGCACTCTGCTATGCACTCGAGCAAAATGCTGTCAAGGGTCGGCAGGGTCTACTCCTCATGTGAAAACCAAGTCTTGCTCAGACTTCTATTCATCGGGATCCTGGGTCCGAAGCGTCCAGGATAGCCCTTCCCATGGCCATTCTCTTCCAAACCGTGACGGATCAGGTCCTGTGGAACCTGCGGGTTGAACCAGCAAGTACCATCGGAGCCACCTGCCAAGACCTTGCACATGGGGATTGCCAAGACAATCACTATCTTTCACCAATCCTTGCCTCGAGCGTGACATATGATGCCAGGGTGGACCCCGCCATTGTTAGGATTCAACCATGGGTTCTTTAAATCGGCTCAGAAAGGTTCCTTCAACCAAAGTTGCATGCCTGGAAACAAAAGAAACTGCGATTAAAGACGCATGTTCCAACACTTACAGCATTGCCGGGTCATGGGTCCGAAGCTTCTTAGTCTTAGTCTAGATAGGAGCTTCGAGCTCGATTTTTCCAGCTTGCGGCACTCTTGCCGACGTCGGCTCAACTTTCTTGCTCGATTGGCGGGGCCTTGCTGCGAAGACAAACTCCTGGCCTTACCGGTTGCAGCCGGGCGGCATAAATCAGCCACTTCAGCTCACGTGTGACCTCCCATGCTGAAATTCAAAAATGTTCTCTCAGAGCGTGTTCGGGAGAGAGGAAGGGAGGGGAGTTTGGGTCGCTCCTGACCACACAAAGAGCTCTGGCTTCGAGGCCCTGCTTCCGAAGCCGCTGCCTGAAGGGCGAGCTCCGGCGTAGGGACAAAAATGATGGCCTGACAGGCATCAGCCGATGAGAAGCCTTGACTGCAAGGCCATGCGAAACCCAAAATGCGGTGGTATCGATACGCATCACATCTCGACCCTCTCAGTGATTTTTGGGCACTTCCACTCGCTACTCCGAGCAAGTTGTGTTCTGTGCATGGTCCGCCAGAGTACGGTGATGCACAGAACTCCCGCGACTTGCAACGCACAGCCCATGCCTGTGCACCAACGTGCATGGTCGGTTGCAGCCTGTGAGCACAAAATGGAATGTCGTTGCCGTTGCATGGCTTGAAACAATGTCTGTTTTCGTAAGCATTCGGGCAGTGTCGGAACTGCGCCTTGCGAGGATGGGAAGCAGGTATGCGAGTGTCTTCCCACTGCCTGGGCCACTCACACGACGAAAATTATGGGAGTGCTGGCTTGGATGGCCGCAGCCGAAACCAGCAGAGCAGGCCTGTAGGGGCATGTAGGATGATGTGCTCGCCCTTGGCCAGCTTGGGCATCACGAGCTCCTCGCAATGACTCGTCGCATCTTCTTCTGCCATCACCGAGTCTAACAGGCTGTAGCCTGTGCAGCTTAGACCCTGTTTTGTCACCGCTGATGCTACCCGAAAAAAACGACAAGTTCAAGAGCTCTCAAAATGTCAAGGGCAATGAGGCAAAGTGTCCTGGATGCTGGAGGGCTGGACGATTCCACGCTCGGTAAAAGCGTCGGCGAGGCCTTCGCTTTGGCAGTGGTTGGCTTGCAGAGCGTACGTCGGGTAACCCCTATCCTCCCGGTGGGGTTGCTGACGGGCGGACCCGACCAGAGGGGGGGGGTACTTAGATAGATAGTTAGTATCTGACGGGCGGAACCCGCCGGCGGAAACCTCTAACCTCTAACCCGTGGGTACTTGACGGAGATAGAAAGTATTTGACGGGCGGAGGTTGCTGACGGTCGGAGGTAGCTGACGCGCGGAGGGTGGGTAGCTGATGGGCGGAGGTTGCTGACGGGCGGAGGGTGGGCAGCTGACGGCCGACGGGCGGAGGTTGGGCGGGTAGCTGATGGGCGGAGGTTGCTGACGCGTGGGGGGCGGGCGGAGGTTGCTGACGCGCGGAAGGTGGGTAGCGGACGGGTGGAGGTTGCTGAGGGGCGGAGGGTGGGTAGCTGGCGGGCGAAGGTTGGACAGAAACCTCCAACCTCTTTCCCGTGCGTACCTGACGGAGATAGATAGTATCTGACGGGCGGAAACCTCTAACCTCGAATTCGTGGGTATCTGACGGAGATAGATAGTATCTGACGGGCGGAAACCTCTAACCTCTAACCAGCAGGTAACCGAAGGGGGTTAGAGTAAGAGGTTAGGTGAGGTACATGATGTTGGCTTGGCACGATCAGAGCTCTCGCCAAAGAAAATTGAGTGGCAGGCGCTGGGGGATGGGCAGGCCACCGAAGTCCACCTAAGCAGCATTCAGCCTATCTCGCTGCCACGCTGCGGTGCAGAAGATCTGGACTGGGGTATTACACAGCTTGACCCATGGTGGTGCAGTTAGCTCTTGCATAACTCTTGAATAATGCATCGCTGCCCTTGATGTCAAACTTGCAGCCAAGCTGACCATGGGATCTGGTATCCCTGGCCTGGGCGATGTGTCGATGCTGGCACTGCAGCAACCCGCAGCCAGGAAATCACATGAGGTCCAAGTGGCCAGAGCTCCACCTCTCGAGTGTTTACGATGCGCTTCGCGGGTTCGGGCAAAGAGCCCTCCTCCGCTTCCTCTTCCTCGTCCTCGTCCTCCTCCGCCTGCGAGGCGACACGCTGTTTTTGATGGCTCTCGGATTCCGCTCCGCTCTGCCCTCGCCTCGAGCTTCGCAAGCTGCATGGCCTGGGCATCTGCGGCCTTGACGCTTCAATTGCACATCTCAACACCTTCGATAGACTCTTTCCACACTTCGCGGCGCCGGCTGCGCTCGGGGGCGCAAGATTGAGAAGAAGAAAGCTCGCTCCCCCACCCGATCACCACATGTCGCCACCCCCCTCCCACCCCCCAAAGAGTCCTCGGTACCGAGGCTGCTGAGCTCTTGCTCGAAGTCGTTCCTCAGAGCTTGGAAGACTGAGAAGGAGTCATCCGAATCCAGCTCTTGGTAGACTTAGGATCGTGACTCTTGTTGAAGTGTCTGACAATCTGCCTTAGGAGTCTGCGCTTCCGTGAAATCCTCAGCACGCTCAGAAGAGTCGAGCCATCGCAAATCCGAACGACACGAACACGCGCTACACCGCCTTTACACCAACAAAGACCATGCGCTGAGCTCGTTGCTATGGCACCGCGAGTCTTGTGTACAAAAGTGCAAGTGCGTGCAAACAGAGAAGGAATTTTCTTTGCGTCGCTCTGCCGAGCCTCTACACTTCGTACACTTTGCTGTTTCGGTTTAGGGTTTAGGGCTTTGGGTTTAGGGCGTCGGGTTCAGAGCTTAGGGTCTAGGGCTTTGGGTTTAGGGTTTAGGGGTTGCGCTAGAAGTACCGTACCCCAGGATATCTTGGAGCCTTGGACTTCGATCGACTTGGATCCGACAGGAGTCCTCAAGCAAAGCCTTTGAAGCCGAGTCCAACTTTCAGATGGGCCCAACTGGTGCGAGAACCACAGGACCACCTATACTAAGAAATCCCTCGTCCGACAAAGAGACAATCGGAACATGACAGGCGTCGGCCCCTCCACACGCGGATCCACCAGCCCGTTCGTTCGGCTGCTAGCGACGGCCTCACATTTCGGACACTCCATGTTGGCAATTCGGGCTGAGGGCCCGAGAGAAGACAAAACGAACACACATCTCCCCAAAAGCCTTTTAAAAGAGATTTCACCTACTGAACCTCACCGGCATCTCACGGCTCCTGGAGCCGGACGCCCCGGGCCGCAGCGCCGCCCCGCCCTCCGCCCGAGCGCCTGGCAGCAGCTTGCATGGAACTCTTATAATACGCAGGCGGTTTCGCTCCCAGTGCCCTGTATGGGCCCTCTTGGGGTGGGGGGACCTGTCGACACTTGCTACCCAAGAAATGATTCACCGTAGGGGCGTAGGAGTTGCCTCAACTCTCTTCTTCCGAGCCTTAGCAATAGCACTCCTTTCCATCACCGACCGGACAAATTAATTCTGTTAAGCTCCGACGTGGTTGCTTCTTGGTGGCTCACCTAGACATGATATACACTTGAGAAAATCTTGGTTTTTGAGCACAGGCCAGGCCCGTGCCAGTAAGACTCTGAGTCTCAAAACTTCAACGTCTTACACCGAAGCTCGCATGTCTTTCGCTTCGGGTGTCTGCGGGGCAGGAGAACCCCTCTCCCATGCAGCTCCGATTTTGGGCTTGGAGCTTTGGGCTTTGGGATTCGAGGCCTATGGTGAGGATCACATATACCGGGCTGTGAGTTCAGACGCATGTCACTGCGTCGAAGATACAGCGTTGTCGGGTCCTTTTCGTATGGACCCCACATGGGCCAGCAAAAACAAGGCATCTTGGTGTTGCCGCGGCTGGGTTCCGCGTCAGGGACTTTGCTCTTTTCTTCTGCTTCTTCGGCCTCTTCATCTGGGAGCATTGTCAGTTGGATCTCGCTGCGCGTTCCCGACTCGCCACTCTGTGGCGAGGCTGCTCCTTGTAAGGGCGATGCGCTCATCCTTTCTGCTGCCTCCCCCGCTGCATTGACAAACGTGTGACTGGAGCCTGGTGAAAAAAAGGATGTACGATCTGCCACCGGAATCAGCTGGACATTAGGACCGAACGATGTGGCTGGTGGTCCGAGCTGCTATGTGAAAGTTGGACTTTGGGCAGCTTTGCTTCCGACGAGTGCTGCGCAATGCTGCGCACACCGGCCTCGTGCTTAAATGGTCTGCAAGGTCCAGTGCCCCACTCACCCTTCCGGCCTCGCCTGTTGGCCAAAAACCCCGCAGCCAAAGCTGTGGCGGCCGGGGTGAGCGCGGGCGAAACGCCTCAAGAAAGCACAGCAACACCACCCAAAAAGGCATCGAAATTTCGCTAAGGCATGGCAACGACCAAAGCAACAGGGCCGACGCTGCAGCCGGAGCCTTACATTTACATCCAGCCCTCCCTGCACCTCGCTCCGGCGCGCCACGTGCGCGGCCGTGAGGCGGCACTGGCCTCGCACCAAGTGCCAGCTTGAGAGGGATGCAGTCCGTTCTCTGGGCAGCGAAAAATTCTTTGCGGCATGGCTTTGTTCGTCGTTGTCAGGGTTCTGCATCTGGTCTTAGAAGAGTTTCCTTCAGGTGGGCACGCACGCACACACACACACAGACACACAGACAGACAGACAGACAGACAGACAGACAGACGGACGGACGGACAGCCAGACAGACAGACCCACAGAGGCTGGGCCAACAACCTGGCCGCAGTACTTCAGTACTGACTATCAGGAGTTACTAGCTGCCTGTTGAAAGGGGTTCTGGAATTCCCTGCTTCGTCGTGGATGTAAAGCCCAGCTTTCGTGAAGCCAGAGGCGGTTCCCCTGAACCATCCCCTACTTGTGCAGGTGGGCTCTTGCAATAACTCACGCAACCCTGCAATGCTGCACACCAGGTGGGGGCAACCGGCTTTCCTCGGCAAACAAAATGGCCTTGCCTATTGACGGGCAGCGTCGGCGGTGCCCCCAGGCTGAAAGCCTCGCTTCCAAGATGCCAGAGTTTCACGAGACATGTAGACAGCAGACATCAGATCCAAAGACCAAAGCCCACCTCCGTGACAAGTGCCATGACTGCACCGAGTCAGCTGATTGTCGAAGCTTGTCAGCTTATGACGCTAGGGGGCTGGTTGGGTTCAGGTCAGATTTTGTAGGCTGGGGCTGGCGTAGGCTGCGCAGAGCAACATCACTTGTCTGTTGCAGCTGAACAGACTGCATGTCGCTTCGCCGCGTCAACATGAAGTTTGCGCATAGTTGTCTCCAACATGTTGGTGTGATGGTGCTGCACTGTGCATTGAGCAAATTTGCAGCAGCATGCACCAGCGCCATGCGCTGGAAATGTGGCAGCTGTGAATCGAATACCATGCTATACAACAACATCTGGAGTCCCTCTACAAATGCGGCGACACGGCGACGGGTATCGTTCCCAACGCCGCATGGCATGCTAATCTGCACGCGTCTGAGTCTTCGCAGAGAACTAGCCATGCAGAATCGCAGTGCGACATGCTTCATATCCTCAGCATCAAGTTTCCGGCCCATGGCACACGGTAAATATCACAGGTTGCACTTTCCACGCGGACAGTGGCCTCAAAAACAGGGCAAGAAGGCAGGAAGCATAAAGTGGAGTTCTTGCATGAAGGACGAATTCAATTTGGAGCCATTCGTCAAGTCTGGGTGTCCACACAGGCTCGGGGTTCTTGAAGATGGCCGAATACACACCAATGAGCTCACCCGGGGTGGTGACAATCTGGCAACATCGGCGGGCCCTTCGATCTCAAAGTACGAGTGGAGCATAGGATGCTGGACTGGCGCGCTGCAGGGCACGACGCATGCCGCAGACTCGAAGCGACCTGCGATGCTCCCATGGCGGCCGCTGCATAGCGCGGCGTGCGAGCAGAACGCCTGGCATGCGTGCAATTGCCGTTGGATAAGATGCGAGGCTTCAGCCGTTCTGTTTGGCTTCCACTTGAAGCCACTGCTTCAGTAGACTGCGCTGGACAATTCATGTCGTGCTTTCAAGTCTTAGGTCTCGGGTCTTCGACCCCGAAGCCAAGCCCTTGTCCTGATTTCGTTGTTCCCGGCAAGAAGTCCACCCCGAGACGGAAGAACTCCCCAATGCCATCAAACTTGGCAGCTGTGCGGCGCTTCCTTGCCTTCATGGCCCGGCGGGTAGCAAAAGGCCACTGCACCCTGAGCACTCTCGGGGCTGCTGGGCTAAATTTCGGCTCTTCTGGCAGATGAACCTTTCCGAGATGCTTTATTTATTCCTCCGGAAGGCAGCCAAGAGCGTTTTGGTAGAACTTATGTGCCTGCCGCAGGATCGTCACCTCCTTGCATTCAGGCTCGCCATGCCGCAGGAGAACCTAAAGGACACATCCGAAACCAAGAGCCATCCACTTGAATCTTATTGAAGCGTTTTGAAAGGCATTCAAATCGAGGTTCGCAAGGCTCGTTTAGGGCCACGGCGCTGCCCCGATCCAGCGTGCAGCTTTTCCTCAGAGCAGGGTCGCTGAAGCTGCGAATCCAATGTGAGACTGGTCCCAAAGATCTGTCATCGCAGGTGAATCTCACACTTTGCCACTCTGCTTCTTCGCACGGCCATGAAGGAGAAGCTTGCAGCGATGCAGAACGGGAAGATCTGAGACCCCGGCATTGTCTTGGAAGTGCGAACCTGTAGTGGGGGCGCACACGCTGCAGCTTGAAGCCTTCCATTGAAGCCTGCGAAACCATCGAGCAGCTGGCCATTCGCTGGCGGAGGGCGGGGTGCAAATGGTCCTGAGTGCACTCAGCAGCTCAGCACACTTCCTTTACGTCCTTCTCCCGAGGTCCCTTCCGAGGACGGAATCACTGCGAGCTATTCGAACGCTTCGCATTCAGGCATCCTTTAGCTTCCTGCATTGCAGAGCGAGCCACTAGGCAGGGTGCAAATGTGGGCATGACGAATCGCGCAAGGGGCAGTCGCAATTCAACATGTTGCAACTGTTGCAGCCGGTCTTTACTAAGTCCTATCCCAGAGCCTCTGACACTCGAGATTAACAAATCAGCGGGGTCCAAGCATGCGGCAATAGCCCGCTTGCTCGTGGCACCGGGAGGGACCACCACCTGCAGCACGTGGCCTCGAATGCGAAAGTCGTGAGACGTGCTACTTCAGCCTCCCCATCTCCGAGACGGGCTCCACGTCTGTCACACTGCACACCCACCCGAGACCCCTTCCTTCATTCTCTGGGCTTTTTGTACTTTGGCAACAAACTCACCACGCCAAGCTGCGACAAAGGAACTCGGCGGCTTCCCGTCTTTTCGCCTGGCACACTGCGCAGATACAGTATTGTGCGGTTTCTTGAAGCGCATGAACGAAGTACACAGGTGATGAAAGACCAGCTACATCAACGCGCGTCCTAGTCCTGTCTGTCCGTCTGTCTATCTGTCCGTCGTCTGCATCTGTATGTAGCATGCTAGTGCGTATGCACACGCCTTTCGCGAAAATGATGATGATGGTGATGATGACAAGCAGCTTACAGTGACAGCACCTGCTGCCATGAGAGCATCTTTCCACACTCGTAAACGAAAGGTTGACCTGCATGCGCCTTGCAATCACGACATTTAGGTGTTTACGCAAGGGATGCTTGCTATCCCAGATAAAGGTGATGGTAGGAGCAGCAGACAGACTGTGAGGAAGCCGTGGGCGTGAGCTGAGCTGGGTGGAGTTGTACAGGAGTCGTTCAGTTCCACTTCCCCGAATGTGGGGTTGGGGCTTCGAAACGGTCGGCATTCAGTTGAGTGGAGCACGAGTCCTTCTTTCGGGCTTGCGGTGAGGCTCCGTTCTAGCTTCCAACACATAAACTACCATGCAAAAAAAAGAATCACCGCCCTCTGTCGCAAGGCCCAAAATGTCCGTGCCACAAGGCTTTCATCTTTTTCAGCTGCTAGCGCGGAACTTCCGCTTGGCTTTTTTCGCCTTCGGAGCTCCTGCAGGCGACGCATCGCGCATCGATCGATCGATCGCAATCTCATCCTACCCTACCCTTCTGCGGCAAATGCGGCATATGTTTGTCAGCTCCTGCTGCACATTACATCCACCTCTGTCTCTGGAGCTTTCGCTACTCTGAAGCTGCCTTTCAATAATGACGTGCCATGAAAACCCAGGAGCTCCATGTAACCTTTGGGTGGAACCAGGAAAATACAAGTGCTTGAGCAGTGATTCCGGGGGAGCCAAGCCCAGTGCTGATGCTCCTTCCGGCATGACCTCATCAGCAGCCACCTGCAGTGCGTGATGGACTGGCTTCCAGTCTTTGCAGGGTTTTGAAGGCGAATATCGCGGAATGGTGAAAGCCTGAGAGCTGTCGCTAGCTGCCAGTCCCCACCTCATCTTCTTTTGCTGCCGTGCGCTTCGCCACGTGCTTCCTGAGCGAGTCCCTATCCGCTCTATCTCCACGAAGATAAGGCCAAGTCATGCCGCGGGGCTGCGTGCGCTTCAGAATCCCGGAGCCTGGCGCTTTGCATGCGAAGGGCACCTCACACGCTGGGGTTGAAACAAGGATGGGCGAAAGGCGAAGAAAGTCGAACATCCGATTCACTGCCGATGAAATCTTTGGGGTCACAAACCAGGCTAGACTGGAATTGCCTCACTCTGACGGTGCACTTGGGCAGGTACTCACGTCCTACGTAGTAGCCTAGCGTTAGGTTCACTCATGATGGTGGGTTGTAGCTCTGCTCAACATTTTCTGGCTTGTTGTTGTTGTTGTTGATGTGCAGCATGCCATCTACCCGTTCCTTCCTGCGGGAAGTCCGAAGAAACCACACGTCCGATCGGACGTGGTCCGTATGCCTTTGCAAGACTCTCCAGGTTTAGTGCAAAACACGTCATACAAGGCACCGAGGTCTGCGTAGCTGCAGGTTCCTTCTTGGGCGCTGCCTCAGCCACAGTGGCGGCGCGCTCCTGTAGACTTCTCAAACAAGTTTTCCACGCACACCTCGTGAACGGGGCTGCCTTTCATACATGACGAGGGCGAGGCACCGCAGCAGAGGGTCAAACTCTATCTGCAACTCGGTCCTGCTGTTTTCTCACCTGCTTCCCGCCAGGCTTCCGCGGCGGTCTTCGCTTTACCTCGCGTGCAGCCACCACTGTGAGTCTGCCTAAATGAGCGGCTCCGGTATCGTAAGCTCACAATACTCAGGATTCAAAGTGCTTACTCTGCTGGACGATCTCCCAAGCTTGTGCTGAACAACGGCCCATCGTACAAAGAGCTCCCAGCTACTTCGGACTTAAGCAGTGTTTCGATCTTCGCCGGACACAGTCACTCACTCCTTGTCCTTACTTGCTTGTGCTTCTGGTGCTGCTGCTCCATTTCCCAAACCATCCAACTGGAGCATTCAGGCGGGGGGAGGGACACATCAAAAGTGCCTTGATCGCTTGGCCCTTGTAGTCGATGCCATCCAGCAGAATCACCTTGTCGGCATCGTTGGGATCCTGAGCTGACGCAGAAACTCTGCAGTTGTCAGCCAGTCCCCGTCCTCAAGCATCTGTAGCCTCCAAAACGTCCTCCCCGGGCTTTCAAGGCCAAAAAGCGTTGTAGAAGATGCAGGCCGTACCCCGCGGAGACCCATCGCTGTCTTTGTGGAAATAGAAGCGGGAAATCTCACCGAACCTGAGGCGGCCTAGACTCTAGACCAACCGGCGCCCTTCTGCGTGAACTTCGCAAAGCTGGAGACCAACTGACTAACTACCGAGAGAGAGAGAGAGAGAGAGAGAGAGAGAGAGAGAGAGAGAGAGGTGGGGGGGGCAAACTGTATCTACCAGAAGCCTCTCATGATCCCGAATAACAGAACCAAAACAGCTCTGAAGCATCGCCACGATCTCGAAAGGCTACGACTAGGACCTGGCATGAGGCAAAGGTCGGAGAACCTGGGCCGATCTCACAAGTCGAGCTTCGCATCCTGGATTGCAGCGCGCCTCTACACCCAAACAACAACAAGACTTGACTGGCCGTGCCCTCACCCAGTCTCTCCCTCACTCCCACCGCTCTGACTTGGACGAGGAGCTTGGCGAAGTCCTTCCTCAAGGTATCACCGTCAACGGAGGCCGGCAACGCCTCATGCAAAAGCTCAACAAAAACCAAAGAACAACTTCCTTCACGATCCCCAAGTTCTGAAATCCGGTCTCTGCTTTGAGGAGGAAAAATGATAGGAGGCCCGGCTGACAGAAGCACCCGTTCAACCAGAGCTCTTCTGGTGACTTTCAGAGGTGCGAGAACTCCCCTGAAGCGCTCGCATTGAAGCCCGCTCCAGCTCCAAGGCCCAGAGACTTCTTCTCACGCTGGGGCCCGAGGCTGCCAGGAAGATCTGCCCATCGCGCTTGCCGCTGGCACTTTGGCCTTGTGGTTGGCAAGCCAATGGCCAAGCGCGGGCATTATAGTGCCTTCTGGTGATTACACGCGACTCAGCACGGGGGCCTACGGGGCCTACAAGTTCCGCTGCACTGAGCAGAAAGATTACGTCCCTAATTCCCACAGGAGCGCACGCCTCCGGAAGGGGCTTGGGCTTGATGATGCTTGATGTGCAATGTTGAGCAGGGTGTAAGCCAACCATGCATGAAACCCTGCAGCGCAAATGGAAACTTGAAGCCACCCGGCACATGTCCAAACAGCAACCTTGTCCTTGCACAACCTGCACTGGCATCCATGAATTCTGCAAGGTGCTCTCTGCTGCCGGCTCTGTGGGTGTCTTCGCAGCAGCCTCCATCACCCAACGCTTGACAACGCCCTCTGTAAAACGTGCCATGTGTAAGGTTATTCCACAACCAGGAACCATACGGTACAGTCGTTGCCGACTGGGTTTTCGATGGGCCATTCTTGAAGCTCTGACTGCTCATGGGCCACAAGTGCCTCTTTCAAGCTCAACTTGCCCATCATGCGCTCTTGCAAACATCGTCTTCCCAACTGGGTCTTGGAGGTGCTGCACGTTCAGCACTCGCCTTCGCTTGCTGCACTTTCTTCTCGGCCTTCCGGTGAGCAAACACACCCAAGTATGAAACCAAGCAGCTGCATCCGCGTCTGCCGGCCATCAGACCAAATTTCTGAAAGAACCGTTGAGGGCCGGAGTGGCAAGGGAAGGAGCACCAAGCAGTTTCGTTTTGGTGTGCGCCTCGGCCTGCTTTCTCGCCTGCTTCTCGGCCTGCGGCATACAGCTATAGTCCTAGACAAAGGAGTCTGCCCATGTACACCAAAACTTCCTGAAAGGCAGCGCGGCACCGGGCTCCATTTCAAAAGCAGACACCCAAAGTTTCTGGAAATCTTCCCATGCCTGCCTTTGTACCATGCATGTGTTTGTTACTCATGCACGTCAAGCCCAACATGTTTATGCAATCGTCAAAGGTCGGAAACCGCCCGTCAAGGTCGAAACTAACTTTGCGCCGCGAGTCTGGTGTGCCTCTTTCCTCTCCTTGCGATTCATGGGCACCTTGCCCTCGTCCTTCTCAAGGGCCAGAGCTCCCAAGAGTCAGTGTTAAGTTGGAGGCTGTGCAAAAGCCATGCCCAGAGCTGCCATGTGCTACAAAGCCAGGTCCTGCTCATGTGCAATGCATAGCATGCCACAAGACTGAAACGCTGAACTCCCCAATTTCGTCCAGCAGCCCTCAAGCCGAAAGTCATCCGCGCTTCCCGGGTGCAGACTGCCTCTTGCCAACGGCCTTCGGATGTCGCGAGATGTCGCGAGAATCGCGACAGTCCCACTCCGACACCAAGTTGGAAAACAGGTCCTCCGAAGATATGGAGGCATCTGCATCTGAGGACCTGGGCAGGCTTCTGAGGGGCCTGGGGAGCCTGCAGCACGGGGGCGCAGCTCCCCCGGCTTTACAATGCCCCCCAATCTCGTAAAGACGCTTGCAGTTCGAGGCCTTGACTTGGCCTCCCGGGCTCCCAGCCCGCCCAAGATCTCTGCATCTTGCAGCTCCGGGGGAAGGTCCTTTGACGAAAAGAACCAGAAAACCAAAACGCGGCTCAAGGCTTAAGCTTACTATATCCGTATATCCCTTACCCATGTCTACCCATGCCGCCCAAAATGACATTCCTAAGCCCATAGACTCTCAGATTCTCCCTGTCGTTTGTCCGAGAGGGTCACTGTCCTCCTCCGCAGTCGGGATTTTGGGCCGCTTCCAAGTTTTGCCGGCCGCGCCACCTCAAGCCAGGGAGGACATGCTTTTTTATTTGGTATATTCCCGAGAGGTCAACCGCGTCTGGCCCGAACGTTAGCCGACGCCTCCATCGACATCTTTATCAGCTTGTTATTGCAGCAGGATTCCCCCGCGCTCACGGCGATGCTGATGGTGCCAAACTCGGAAGTCTGCCAGGGCCGGGGCTTAGGCCGCCCAGGCTTTCGACGAAGGCGGAAACCTTCCACTCAAGAGTCCACAAAGATCTTACGATGCGATGGCCTTGACTGCTGTCCTGTTACGCGATGCGGAAACACACGCCAAAGCACAGAATATCATTCTGGTCTGGAGTACGTTCGATCGAGGCCTGACTGAGAAATTGGAGAAGCATACTTTTCGATAAATCTCTGCTTGCTGGAATTGCAACACGACTGAGCTGTGGCAAGGCTTGCCACGTGCAAAAGGTGAATGCAGCCTGCAGCCAAAACTTCGAAGGCTCTGCCCGCCTCTGCCGCTAGCGGCTGCTCTCCCTCACCTGGCACTGCCGGCGCGATGTCAGAGCAAGGACTGAGTTACAAACCCCTTCCGGACTTGGGCCGACCTCCGAGGCACCGCTATGTGCAACTGTGTGCAACACGGCAACAAGCTGTCTCTCGCAACGGCTTTCTCACGCAGTCGGTTGTGCGTGTCCATCTCCACCATATCCATGTCCTTGTCCATGACCACGCTCATGCCGTTCGCCGTGGTGCGGCTGTTCGTCTTGCTGTCCATGCTCTTGTCCACAGTCACAGTCCATGTCATGGTAGTCCCAGCCGTGGCCGCCCCCGTGTTGGTCTTGCTGGCCTTCCGAGACAGCAAACGATGTGCTCGGAGTCCCAGGTCTGATTTCGAGAAGCTTCACATGGCACAGCACATTTTCTGGGATGGAGCCAACATCACCCTTCCAAGGAGGCAAGGCTCGTTCCTGAAGCACAAGGCCTTTGGTTGCCAGTGCTGTAGTCATGGCCTTGTCCAGATCGGGGAAGCGAGGGTAGTGGGCATAAAGCATTGAAGGCGCCAGGGCTTGCGTTCGTCCCTCGGCCGCTTGTGGCAGCAGCACGGCCTGCAAAGCGATAGTGAAGGGCTCCACGGCCGCAAAGGAGTAGACAAGGTCTGCGCCGATGACCAAATCGAAGGGGCGCTGCAGCAGCTCATCTGCTGGCTCCTCCTCCCAATCGAAAGCGCAGCTTGAAGCGGATCCGCCCGCTAAGTGGATGAAGTGGGCATTCGTCTGCATGTTGAGCTGAATTAAGCTTAACCTTGCTTGCTCTGGGAAGCACGCTAAGCACTTCCTGCAACTACCGATCTTCCACGTCCTACAATGCGACCAAGGCTCAGGTTGGCGTGGTCAGTGAGAACCACTTCTGCACCCACAGCTGCTGCCGCAAGGCCCGCTGCGCCCGTGCCCGAGCCAAGCTCCAGAATCCGGGGCCTCCAAAACAAGGAGCTGCCTGTGATTATTTGACGTGTGAACCGCCTTCAACCCGGAATTCCAATAAAAATAAATGAGACGGGGTAGCCGAAGCTCCCGATTCCGAGTGTACCAGTAGGCCGTAGAACCGAAGTAGGCATGTGACGGGAAAACTCCGCCGCCTCGGCCGGCCAAGGGCTGCGAGGATTGACGTGGCCTGGGTTGCCAGGATGCAGCCGGCGCCCCAGACCGCGCCCCCAGGGCCCAGCTCGGCGTTCCTCGGCTGCACCCGCATCCTAAAGGGCCTGTTCCTTCAATTCAAAGCACCTGATTCGAGGCTTGCAGCCGGCAATGCTCCTTTTCGGTGACTTCGGGTCGGGCCTCTCAAAAACAGTGCCGGCGCTCCTTTGCGGGCAGCGCAACCCCAAGGGAAAATAAACGTCTGCGAAACGCCTACTCCCATTCCTCAGGAAAAAAGGTAGTAGTAGTCCGACAACTCAGACTCTGAAGCCCTGTGTGGCTCGCTGTCTTATAAGCCATGGATCGAAAGCCTGCAGTAGCGGCAGTTCAAGGCTTGTCGAATGCGAAGCTGCAGGCCTGCCCTCAGAAGGTCTGTGGTTTCTTGGCTTTCTTAGGTTTGTCTCTGGCAGCCCAATGCCAGTGACAGGTGACTGCAACTGACGACCACTCGCTTCAACAAGTCCCTTACCGAAGCACCTCACTGGCAGAAGAATGTCGTGGTGCTCCGCCCAATGCCTTGCCATCAGCCATGCGCAACTCCAAGTCTACTGCCCTCTCTGGCAAAGTCGCATCTCTCGCATGAACGCATGTGATCGCCATAAGTGCCAAGTCAAATCTGGTCGCCTGACCTACGTCCCATGTGCATTTATGCAAGTCACTACCGCCCTGAACCATGATGAATGTGAAAAGCCTGAAAACTCTATCGACGTGGGCAGGCGGCCGATGCAGGAGGCTGGTGAACTCGACCAACTCGGCGCCAAGCTCTGCTGCCCATTCAGGATCTTGGCGACTTCAGGCGGACTGACGAAAGGAGTGGGGAGAGTTTACGAGCGCCCCCCCCTTCTCCACTTCAAGAACTGGCAACCGCGGATTTTGGCTGAGCTGGGGCTGACGAGGGAAGGTGCTCTCAAGTTGCGTTCCAACGCTGCAAGCATGTGTTTCCCACTTTGAGGTCCTTAGACTTTGAGGCAGCATTCCGCCCTCCTGTGCAGCGTATCTCTGAGTATGTCCGTTCAGTTCGAAGCTCTCTCTTCGAAGTATCTCTGTGATTGTGGCTCCCGAAGACCGTGGTGGGGTGTGGAGGTACAGGAACTACCACGGGAGCTTCCATATAAAAACCTACTACTATACAGTAAACCCTAACTACGATACATTAATAATACACTCATGCTATAATATACTATACTATACGATGCCAATACGAAAACTATTACTGTAATATACGAAAAGAAGCGAAAATACACTATAACATATACTATGCTATATACTCTGCGGCGAGGCTGCCGTTTTCGGCCAGCTTCAAGGCCTCCTCGAACTGGCCGACTGCATCCTCGAGCTACGACAAAACCTCTACAACATCTAGGAGACTCCAACATCCCTTCCCTTAATTAAGAGATATTCGTTAGATCGTGTTAGGGATCCTACTATAATTTATGGCAATTATATGCCTTAAGGAAGGGCTTTTGGAGTCTCAGGGATTGCCGTGCGGGCTGCTGGTGGTCAGGATCGAAAACTCTGGGTTGGGACTCCTTCTGTGGCGAATCTTCTTTGGGTGCCATGCGTGATGTTCCCCAGCGATGCAAGTTCGCTTGAGACTTAAGATGCACGACTTGCCGAGGAGAGGGCATGAGCCTGAGGTCTCTGGAAAGTCCTAGAAATCGGACACGGAGCCTCGAGCTGTCCGGCGTTGAAGAGCGCTCTTCCCAGGGTGGCCTCTGATACCGGCCGGCTCTGGGCCACGGTTTTTTAGCTTTTGGGATAAATGGGTCAGAGCCTTAAGCCCTCAAACCCCACCTTGCCCGGCAGCCAGTCTGCGCTCAGCTTCACGGCCTGCTCTGCTGACGCCACAGCACCTTGAAACCTTGGAGTCTCGTTTGAGACTGGTTCTGTGCTTTTGTCCGGTTGCTTTGTTTACACTGGAGCGTTGTCGAGATCATGAATGCGTGCTGAATCACAATAACTGCCCCGATTCTGTCAATACTGCGAGGGGACAGGATTCTTTCTTGCCCTTGGGCCCATTTTGACGATTTGCTTGCTCCTCTCTCGAGCAGTGCTAAGGGCATAGGATGCAAGGTGATCCCAGGAACGGGGACCCCGAACTAACTAGTCACTAGTCCTCAGAAGCTTGAAAACCTTTTTGAAAATAGCAACACGGCAATGCATCAGAGCATTTCAACAGAAAGATCTCAACCTCCCTACACTTTGGGTGCTTGCAGCCGGTCTGCTGCCCCAGCTCCATCAAGCATTGGGCTCGAGCCTCGCAGTCAACGGTGCGGCTCTGCGGCTCTTTTTGCGCACTTTAAAATTGCGACAATCATGTTCAGTGAGTTTACTGGGGTGAGAAGGTGGGACAAGCGCACAGTAGCGTATGTTCGTGTTTGTCTTTTGTGTGTGTGTGTGTACGCGTGCATTTTGTGCTGTCAGTTCTTCTTTTGAAACACGGATCCTGGACAGAAGAACCCGTGGTAAACGCTGTCGGGGCTCCGAGTTGCACAGTCCAAGCACAAGGAAACTCCACAGCAAGTCGCAAGTAGAGGCAGCCATGGATCGATTATTGAAATTTTCACGTCTTTCGGATGTCTCTCTCTCGGCATGCCTCATAGTGCTTGGCAGAACTCGGATCCAGCTGCGAAGCCTGGCTAATGACTGAGCTGCTTATGTTTCTTGTGTTCTGTGTGTCATCTAGGCTCGAATCGGGGTTGACCGGTTGACGAAAATTAGACATGGCTGAAACTCTATGGCCATTTGTCTTACCGGGCTTGGCAAGCGAGCCCTGTGGTTGAGATCGCACCGCAAGCCTTTTGGAAGAGCTCTGCCGCCCGGCCGAAGTGGCCGTCCTCTGCCAGGGTAGTGGCCTCCGGGCGGTGGTGTAGTGGGTCTTTTTTGCTACTGGGTTCAAGACTAGCCAGACAAAGGGGAACCGAGGGAAGATAAGCTGCAGAAGTTGCTATAAACAAGGTGGGACCGCAGTTGTACATGTGTTTACATTTTACCGTTGCCTTGCTTCAGGTTCCTTGGGTTTGTGCTTATAGCCATACAGCGGCAGGCTTCACGAAGCGCAAGATCATCTCCAGGGCAGGTTCGGAAGTAGATATTGTTAAAGGGTCTCCGACCACTGAAAATCGTAACTTTGGTGCCATCGCGGCAACCCTGTGCAAGTCAGGCAATGAACTCGCAAAACCGTTTGTTCGCAGTTGCGGCGCCCGTAGGCGCCTGCCGGAAGACCGTGTCAGCAGAGCTGCCCTGCTCCATTGCAGGCGTGCTAGAGAGTGCCTCGATCCTCAAGCTTGGGCACGCCAGTCTTCAACGGGTTCGAATTTCGTCGCTCGCAATGACAGAAATGATAACACTTTCAATATTTCAGTCTCTGTTCTTCCCGGCCATTGTCATGACTCTGCTACCAGAGAAGAGCTGTGGATGACTCGCTGTCACGGTGCTGTCGGATGGCCCGGGCCAAAACTGCGGAGACAAGGATGTCCAGAAAGCCTTTATGAAAATCGCTGGTATTACACGCTGCCGACGAAATAGTGCACGAGTGCGCAAGCAGATGAGAGCGTGCATGCATGCATGCAGACAGAAAGACAGTCAATCGGACAGAAAGACAGACAGACAAACAGGTATGCATGGAATTCAGAGCGAATGACGCCTTGATATGCGTTTTGACTATATAATCTGCATTATCTGTCTGCACTGCATTCGTAGGATGAGATGGGTATTGTGCAATCCAAGTAGACCCGCACCTGCACCAAATGTAGTAATCTGCAGTTGCCTAGACTCGGTGACATGCAGCTACCCAAAATGCCCTCCAGTCTTCTCTGCCGTAGTGCGACCCCCAGGCCTGAAGGCTGTGCCGCTTTACGCTTCAGCAGGCCAGTGGCCTGCCAGGGGCATCTGGCTACGGAGCCGTGTGCCCTAGAGTGTTCTTTAATCGCGGAGCGTCGTGCTGGCGACAATTCTCGCTTGCTTCCCAGAAATCCATGCTTCCCTCCAAGAGGTCCAAGAGCAAAGCCTGAACGAGCCCTCGCCTTCTTGGCTTTCGGCTTCTTGCGGCCGTTGGCGGCGCGCACCACCATAGCAGCAGAAGGCTGGACAAGGTGCCCTCAGGGCCCTCGTGAGGGGTCTTTACAGACATGCTCGTGATTATAGGTTCTGCAACTAAGAACGGGAGGCAGCTGCAGCAGGAGCGGGGCTCTGCCAGAAGCCTCGCTTGATGCGCAGGCAGATCTCAGAGATCGGGGCCTTGGATCTGGCTGAAGCGGTGTGAGAAGCCCATGCTATGCGTCCGGTGCAGGGGGCATGCTTCTGCAGCTGCGGATCACCGGTAGATCTCAATTGACTTAGGCGACGTCTGCCTCGAAATCAGATTAATTCTCCGCATCTGCAGGTCTGAAGGACGCAAGCGGAGCAGCTGCCAGGCGCCAAAACTCAGCAACGATCCTTGAAACATTGCAAATTGAGCCGAGCAGCAGGGGCAATGAGAGTTTTTGCATGCTGCGGCTTCACTTCATGTCTCGAGTAAGGGGCTCCCTCGAGCTCTGCTTTCAAGGCAGGATCCAGTGCGAAGTTGGACTTGCTGACTTGCGAGGCCGCGCCGCGAAAAAACACCTTAATCAACGCCATTGCGCACACTGAAGCGTATATCCGAAAAGACTAAACCCGACTCCTAGAGATTGAAAAACATGTTGACATATGAATCGCGTGAAATCAAACCATAAGGTCACAAGGTCGAACATTCACATTGGTTCAGATAGTAAGACGGTTCTAGTGGCCAGTTATCTGCCTAGTGTGAAGGAAAACATCTCAACGGATCCCATGCTCCCTTCCCGAGGCCTCCTCCATGGAGCCCAGCAGGGCCACGTAGTCTTCGCGTGTCACGACCTGCGCAAAACAGCGATCCTCCTTCTCACAAGATCTCCAAGGCTCGTGTCGGCTTGGCAATGCTGGGCCCCGACGAGCAGCTTCGTCGGTTCCACGGTCATCACCGAGGCGGTTCTCGCCTGTGCTTTTGAGGCAACGTGCGCCCGGGCCCAGACGCGAGGAGCGCCGGAACTGGCTGAAACTGCAACTGCCGCCTCCTTCTTCAGCAGGGTCTTCGCGCCGAAGGCAGCCCCGGCACCCAAGCGGTTCACCATCTTCCCCAAGTCCTGGGTCCTCAGGAGGCACGTGCCCCTCCCCAGCAAGCGGGCGGTTGGCAGCTCCAGAACATGTCCCCTGCACTTCTGAGCCCGGCACTTCCGCTGATTGCTGGGGCCCTTCATCCGCGTCCTGGCGCCAGTGCAGGAGTGGTGTTTCAGTACTTTTTGGCTCAGGGGTTTCGGAGTGTAGCGCAATCACCAAGTATCATTGGTTAGCCGTAGCGCCAAGAATCCCGATTCTGTCGGACAGTCTGCGCGCTTGGCTCGTCCTCTTGAGCTTCCCAAAGAGCTCCCAAATACAACGATTCGAACCGCCTCAGCACGAAAGGTTTCAGGCCTCACTCCCTGCCAGAAGAGGCCACCTCGGTCCTGCGAGCGTCTTTTTCTCAATTGTCAGCTTGCTAAAGGTCTGAAGCCCTGTTTAAGGCCTTACGAGTTTCAAGAGCCACGGAGAGTGAGCAGACCTTGAGCCAAGGTGGTCAGACTCCTGTGTCTTGTTTGCTCGGGTTTGCCTTGTTTCACGTGGTTTGGGGTCGCCTGTTCGCTCGGGCTTTGATGCAGTCGAATTTGCGTCGTGATTGTCTTGTGGAATCTTGTGTGCTTGGGTTTGCTTTGCATCCTACTATGCCCTATGCACCCGGTCTGCTGCGTCCTGGGTTTCCTTGTGGCGGCATTTGCGGTTTCACGCGGTCGCGCCACTGTATCCTGGGTTTCTTGCTTGCTCGTGTTTGTCTTGTTTCATGGCGGTGTGCTCGCGTTAGGATGCCAAGAAGGTGGCTCAGTGAAGGTAACGCGGTGAAGCTCAAATGATCGCCACCGCTGCTATCTGCTGTCAGGGAGGGCAACGATGAGGACAGGGGCGAGATGTTAGTCCTCCGCCATCCAGATGCTTGGCCCTGTTTCGATATTAAGATCGTAATTCCGTTGATCCGGGCATCTCGGTCCACCCAAGGGGAACATGGGGAACTCACACAGCAGGACTTGGTGCCTGAATGCTGGAAACAGAAGGCATTCAGCTCAGATTTGGGACAGCATTACCGATCACAGGCCACTCACGGTAGTTGAAACCCTCTCCAAAGCAAGCGCCCTGTGTCCTGGAGCCTTGTGCGGAGACTGCGCCTGCGTCCAAGGTGATTTGCGGCAATTTTCCAGGATGACTTCGACAGGCTCGTCCAGGAACAGTTCGGACACTTGAGGACTAAGCTTTCGCTTCAGGACTGTCGGACTTGTGGCTTTACCGAGGCCGAGGAGCTCTTCGGATAAGGATGCTTCCCTGATTTCCTCTACGAGTAGACTCTACACTTTTGTATGTGGCTGGTCGACTTTGAGCTGCGAAGAGCACAGGCAAAAGGAACGGGCGCAAGACGATCAAACGACATTTCACGAGATCGATACAGTGCACGAGATGCTTCAGATAGAGTACCGGCGTCCTCGCAGAGGTGCATCTAAAGGTATCGGTTGGAAAACGTATCATCTTCGGCTCCTTCTGTGGTCCTTCTCCGAAGGCATTGGGCTGATCGAGGGACTCGCAGCAAGAGAGTTCTCCGAGCTCGCCTCCTCGGAAGCACTAACAGAAAGACTGCGACTCTGGGACTCTTGGCGCTGCCTCCTCCTCCGCCACCTCCGGCTCGGGCGATGCCAGAATAGGTGGGCTCAGCAGCGACGGCGAGTTCGGCGAGTTCTCCTCGTGAGAAACTCGCGAGTGGTTAGCAGCTTAGCAGCGCTGCAGAGATGCGGCGTGGTGCAAATGCTGGGGCCCCGTGCTGGCTCGGACGTGCTCAGCTCCTCTGCCACTGGTGTCGGGCTCTCGACCGCCGGGGCCTCTTCTCAAAGTCACAGCTCCTCAAGCTGAAAGCGAAGGCCACGGCGGCCACCGGGCCGGGCCTGGAGTTGAAGCGAGCCTCGCTTCTCCTCAGAGTCCTCGCGTCGCAGAGGTGGAAGAATGTGCTGAAGAGGTGCATCTAACATATATATATATATATATATATATATGGGTGCGAGATCACGAAATGCAGGGGTGGGGGGATATAACATTACCCATATATATATATATATATATATATATACCCCGCTCCCTCCCCCCCCAAAAAAAACATAGTACTGTACAGGTCACTTCTGGAAGGCAGGAGCCCAGGAACCCGAGACTCGGTCCTCGCGGAAGACCACGCGGACGCCCTGGCGCCGTCCGCGATGCGCTCCTGTCGCATGAGCGCACACACACACACAGACACACACTTACGAGCACTTACTTCTTTTCTGGTCTGCTTGTCTCTTCTCTTCTGCTACAGCGGTAGTGTCAGAAAATTGCTCTAGCACGGCCCGACTTCGACAGCTTCACGCATCCAACAGGCGGCTGGTCGCAACTGCACACCACGAACAGGCTTCGAGGCAAGTCTGCAGTGAGTCTTCACCGTTCCTCAGCCCTGATCGAAACCGGTGAAGAACCTAGGTACTCGCGTTTCGCATGTCTGCTCCAGCAACCCGATCAACAAGCGCTTTTCTTCCAGGAGGCTTAGATGGCTCTGAGAAGTTGTGATCCCAGAAATGCAAACTCTGCAAGACACCTTTCGGGCAGCCAAAGCAGCGCATTCCCAACCAAATCCCAATAATAAACTTTGGCAAGAAAACACTTCGAGCCCCTCCTTTGGGCGCCACTGGCACAGGCGGAGCCAGTCCCGGCGTCATGGACCCACCGGAACTCGGAAACGCCACGCCTTGGCCCATCGATGCATCGTGGCGTGGGAGGTTTTCGAGGCGGCTCAGGTCCCGGGATCCGGCTGGAGCTCGGCGAGAGGTTCTTGGAGGTGTCCGAGCGCTGGGACCTTCTGCTCCGGCAGTGCGGTGATCCATGCTTCTTCTCAACAGCATTGGGTGGCCCACCGCGAGAGAGAGAGAGAGAGAGAGAGAGAGAGAGAGAGAGAAGATACAGCGAGAGGGAGGGAGGGATGGGGGAGGTCCTATCCAACACGACTGTTGCCGAGGCCGCTGCGCACTCGTCTGTGGTTCCACGATGCCTGCCTGGTGGACCGTAGCTCGTCAATGCTGAACACAGGTCCGAAAAATGCCTCTGAGCGTGACCATTTCTGTTTCCCAGTTTTAGATGTTTGCACCAGGAAAATCGTACAAGTTGAGGCCAAGTGCGTATCAACACTGGAGCAGCCAACGGTCAACCGGGGGGGAAATGTGCTAACTGTTTCTGGCCTCCAAGCCTCGACTTCTTGGTTCAAGCCTCACTTAAAACCTCTTTGTGTCGAAGGGTGCCTTGGCCGGCTCCTGCTGCGCGGACGCCTCGGAGGCCTGGGGCCGGGCGGCGCGGTCGGCCGTTAGCGCAGACCTTGAAGGAGACCCCCAGAAAAAGACGCCACAAAGCCAGACTCAGACGCCATCCGCACAGATACTCCAATCCAATCAACTGAGGCACTGACAGCATCGCCTTCACAAAAGCACTCTTGCCACTCCTTCGAGTTTTGCGCACACAGCTTTCCAGCAAGAATGGCCGTCTGTGGCAGCCGTGGCTTGGCAGTTATTCTTCTGCAATAAGCGACACCCGGCCCGCACGAGAGAAGCTTCGTTTGGAGAATTTCTTTCCTAGGGCAATGGGGCCATAAGTTACTTGCCTCGAGCGAGATCAACTGCAAGCCCCTGAGCTGTGCCGAGAGCTGTGACACCACTGAGACTCAGGCTTTTCAGCGACGGTGTTCATCGCATGGCCTTCCTGTGCTGCGCTCGGGGCTATGGGGTCTCAGGCCCTCGGGCCAACGAAGCCCATTCGTTCTGCACGTAGAAAACTAAGGGTGGCCAGGCGAAGATGTATGCTTCTCGGACTTCAGAGAATGAGGGACCCCACCCAGTCTTGAGTCAGATTTCTGGGGATCATTATTCTTTTTTCCCTCTCGCAGTGCTTGGAAGTCTATGCCCAGTTGCAATATTAAGAAATGCGAGAAGCCTTCCGAAAACGATTCAAGACACCAGAACCTACGGCTCAAAATACTCTGGAAACTGAGCTACGAGAGGCTCTTGTTCTTGTTCTGTTCATCAATACTCGTGCGAGTTGCTCGATCTAGAACATAACTAGCATTGCTGGTAACTAACTGGTGGTGCGATCATCTTCTTTGGCTGTCCTCTTCATTCTGTTCATCAACTTAGTGAGGCAGAAACAAGTCGTAAAGCAGTCAGAAGGGCTCGGTGAAGACTAGGCTTTTCCCCGACCCCTCGCCGGAATTTGCGGTCAAACCTACCAGAGTCTACTCCGCCCGGAACCGGACCTCCAGCCCCATCTTCGGTGGTCGAACCTGGCAACATAGCTCGCCACATCAAGGCTAGATTCAAGCTCTTTCCGTGGCCGCAGCACAACAGTGACTCTATACTTTGGACTTGAGGCAGCGGCATGGATGCTGACCATCCCTTCCTCAGCGCAACCGATGGCTTGCAAGCTCAATTTGTCCAGCATCACGACGGTTTTTCCTTGCTACGGGCGGGAATTTTCCGCAACTGCAAAGTTGACGGGATTCCCAGGCGCTGTGATACTCTCCATGGCTTTCAGAAAGTAGTGTAACTCACCACATCACCCTCGCTCTCTCGATGCCTCCGGTCAAGTGCACCTCTTGGCTTTTTGTCCGCCAAATTCAGTGACGTTCGACGAGTCCGACGAGAACAACGCAACTGCCAGGGAGTGAGCCGGGTAAGTCTCTCGTCCCCTTGTCCCAACCGTCGCTATATACAGGAAGGCGCAGGGATGCAACTTCAAACATCCCTGTCACCTCCAGAAATCACATCGCGGGTCCGTCAGCGCAGCCGGCTGATCCCGGTACTTTTCCGCGAAAAGATTCCTTGGTGAATGGCTTGCAGGATCTCCCCTGCACATCAGCCAAACCCTGAGGCACCCCGGATGTGAGCAACTTCGAAGTGCGAGGTCCATTCCAGATTCGGAGCAAAAGAATATAGCTGACAGAGAGCTTTGAGGACTTGAGGCCTTGCATTGAGGCAGGCATATACCAGGGGTCATAAGCATCGGAGTTCACTTACGCTGTGTTGCTTTCTTTGGGAGACGGTTGTGAAAGCTTGTGGGTCACCTCGACAGTGCTGGCCAGGCTCAAGAGCTTATCTTGACGCTCCTGCGGCTTCTTGATGACAGGCGAGGGCATCAGAACTGCGCTAGGTTTCGACTCTCACATTCGCACATGGCAGGCCAGCATCCACTAACTGTGACATGTCTAGTTCCTAACTCGATGCTGGTCTACTCCGCTTCCGAGCTCAACGGCAAATCCGATCATCCCGGCTATCCCACCAGCGTGGTCTCGTAGCTAGAGCATGACATGGCCGACTCCATGGACTACGTGCACAGCTTTCAGCACTCCTTGCACTTCGCCGCGTCCTTTTTGCCATTCCAAAAACTTGTGCCTTGGCCGGCGTCCGTGGTCCTTGTCTGGCAGCTGGCACGCGCTGTTGCTTTGCGAGGCTCTGATGCCATCTATGAGGAATGCGACATAGTGGCAACTGGAGCCTCTAAAACGTGTTCAGAGCTCAGAGGAGTACAGGCTGTTAAGTGGCTGCAAGCGACAGGATTTCGGAGCTCCCTTGAGCTGGGCATCCCCTTTGAATCCGGCCTTTCAATTTGAGTTGTCTGTGTTCAAGAAACACAAGCAATGCGCATCAACAGACTGGACAAACGTCTTGCAGTCAAGCTTCTTGTCGTACTGCGTGCCACCTTTTTTGTACAGCTCCTTCAAATTCTGACCCACCAAGTCGTCCAGCAGAATGAATCCTCGCGAGAACACTGTCCAATCACCAGAAAACATCATCTACGTCGCTGTGCCTGCGAATGCCAATGTCTGAAAGAAGCAGAACTCGAACGGCCTCTATATGCATGTAGTGCATGTATGTATGTGCGCTCACACACTCGATATACTGGGATTTACTTCAAGCGCTGTCTTGCCGGCACGGCAGCGCATGCAAGTCCTGCAGGCTCAATGTGCCAAGTGCATGTTGCACCGCCATCCTCAGCGCATGCAGCAGTTAACAATGCCAGCATTCATGGCCGAAACAATACTGCAGCATGTCTCTTCTGAAGCAACAGTAAACATGAAGATCCAGGAAGATTTTATTGTTTTCCAATGAGCCCGGCGGAACATGTACAACGAAGAAGCATTGCCTCCTAGAGATGATATGCCAGGTTTTCTACTGCTGAAGCATGGCCGTCTCCAGTGGCGCCTAACGAAGGGCGCTGAATCTTGCAGAGCCACCGGCCGTCCGCAGGAACCTGCACCGGACCCCGAAGCGGAACATCCAGCAACTGGGTCCTAGTCAAGAGCCGCCAGCATATTGAGCTGACTTCATGCTACGCTGACTTGTTGTTGCGTGGTTAAACTTTCCAGGTGCCAAAGCTTCTCTCGAAGCTTTCCAATGTTCGGACCACAAACCTACGAGGAAGCTGGGACTCAACGCACGCTTCGTTACAGAACACGGGTACTGCCAGGCCCTAAGCTGCAGATGCTGAACGCCTAGAACCCCGCGCCGCCTGGATACTGCCCATACTCTCTGCGTATGGGCAAGAACCCCAAAAACAAAGATACGAAGCAAGGCAGCAAGGCAACCAAAGCGGAAGTCGTTTAGAGCACTGAGAGCACAAAAGGAAGGCTTTCCGGACTCTACTCTCGGACTCTCGGCCTCCTGGCTGCCTCTCCATGCACTCTGCGGTTTTCGCATATCCGCCCTGAGGCGCCTTGTCCTGAGGGGCACGTCACTGTGTGTGTGTACCATATATGGGTGGTTGTCCAACATTATAATATAAGGACTGAGAAAGGGACATAATTTTGACAACCACCCATATGAGTACAAAGAATGGATTTGATCATCGTACTGCTGAGCTCATGCTGCCGTATTGGATCATAACCTCCTTACAACTGACGACTATGGCACTCATGACCAGGATATAGGCCTCCAGCGGTGCAAAAGCCTCAATAAGCTTTCTTTTTCGAGTCACGGGTTAGGGCCCGTCTAAACACCCAAACCCTGGCTGACACTGCGACCATTGACGTTGGATCCTGGAGTCGCTCAGGGTAGAGTCCTTGCGAGCTTCTTTTGCCCAGCCTCTGTGCGAGGACTTCTTTTGGCTTAAGTAGTCTCTCTCTGAGACTCGAATCGGACAGCTTGGCATCAATGGCTTTATCCGCCGACCCACCGGGAACCGGGACGGCGTCCAGAAGCTTTGGAATGTGCGCTCCACGCTGCTATATTTCCATTGTACATTGCCCCACATTAGATTATAACTTAACGGAACCCTATGGGTGTCCGACTCCTTCCCTGCCCCACTCGGCACCACTCGGTCCCGCTCGGCCCCACTTCCAGTTGGCTGGTTGTTAAGTTTGGTGTTAGTGGTATTTAGTGGTATTTCGTAGAATTAGACTAATTTAACGGAGCCCAATGAGTGCCTGACCCCTTCGCAGCCCCACTCGGCACCACTCAGTTGGCTGGATTTTAGCCTGGTTTTGGTGGTTTAGTGGTATTTAGTGGTATTTCGTGGAATTGACACCTTCGCAGCCCCACTCAGCCCCACTCGGCACCACTCGCAGTTCCACCTGGCTCCATTCGACCCTACTTTGCTTTACTCGGCTTTGCCCGGCGCTGTCTTCGGCTGGATCGCCACCACTCAGCCCCACTCGGCCCCACTCAGTTGGCTAGATTTTAGCTTGGTTTTAGTGGCTGGATTTTAGCTTGGTTTTAGTGGTATTTCGTGGAACTAGACTAATTTAACGGAACCCAATGGGTGCCCGACCCCTGCGCAGCCCCACTCGGCTCCACTCGGGACCACTCAGCTCCACTCGGCCCCACTCAGTTGGCTGGATTTTAGCTTGGTTGTAGTGGTATTTAGTGGTATTTCGTGCAATTAATCTAATTTAACGGAACCCCATGGGCGCCCGACCCCTGCGCAGCCCCACTTGGCCCCACTCGGCACCACTCAGCCCCACTCGGCCCCACTCGCAGTTGGCTGGATGTTAGCTTGGTTTTAGTGGTTTAGTGGTATTTAGTGATATTTCGTGGAATTAGACTAATTGAAGATTTAATGGTATTTAGTGGTATGTCGTGGAACTAGACTAATTTAACGGAACCCAATGGGTGCCCGACCCCTGCGCAGCCCCACTCGGCACCACTTGCCCGACCCCTTCGCAGCCCCACTCGGCCCCACTCGGCACGACTCAGCCCCACTCGGCGCCACTCGCAGTTCCTCTCGGCTCCACTCGGCTCTACTTAGCGCTACTCGGCTTTGTTCGGCGCTGTGTTTGGTTGGTTTTTAGCTTGGTTTTAGTGGTATTTCGTGGAATTAGACTAATTTAACGGAATTCAATGGGTGCCCGACCCCTTCGCAGCCTCACTCGGCACCACTCAGCCCCACCCGGCTCCACTCGGCCCCACTTGCAGTTCCACTCGGTTCCACTCGGCCCTACTCTGTCCTAGTCGGTGTTTGGATCCTTTCTGACATGATATATTTGTTACGGGAACCCTTCGCCTCTAAGTCGCACTAAACCCTGAGCGCTAAATGTAGCCAACACCATGGATTGATCAAACGGTTGCTGCCACTCTGTTCTCCGTTTCCCAGGCGACGTCTGCAGTGAAAACGTCTCGACGCCATCTTGGCCTGCAGCCAATGCAACTGCACACTCAGGAGTTGCTTCAAGAGACTTCGGGCACTCAGAAAGGGGTTGCTGGATTTCTGCATTGCTTTCCGGATTCTGGGGAAGGTCGAGCTGGATGCCTTCGTGCCGATGTTTGCAATGATATATCGAAGCCGGAACAACAACCGCGCGCGGATGTAGGAAACTTGGCACGCAAATGTCTCACTTCTCAATCTGAGTTGCTCGCACTAAGATCTAAGTGGCCTCCCAGGCGGCCTGCGCGTCCCCCCTCGCTCGACGCCGGCGGGACGTCGACCCAATTGGGATTCTCCTTCTTGCCTGAGCTGGGGTTCGGTTTGGCAGTGCAATCTTTCTTTCTGTGTCCTACGACTAGAGTCGAAAATCTGATCAAAATTCTGTATTGTGTACGCAAAATCATTCAACCATCCACTCGCGTCACGGTCACTTCTAGGGGTGATGTGGTCAGGCGCAATGTGGTCTGGATATTCGCAGAGCAGTGTATGTCACGCCTGTGCTCACGCAGCAGTTCCGTGAAGCTGCTGCTTCTGCTCGAACTGCTGCTCGGTCAGGAGACCCTCGTCCCTGAGTTCCCTCAACAGCTCCATCTTTGCAGTGGCAAGCTTGGCCAGCCCGGCATCAGCCTCTGCTTTCTTCTGCAGCTTCTTGGCCTGAGGGTCCTCAAGGCCCACGTCCACACAGTGCTCCTCGACACCGCGGCCAGCGCGCGGGTACTGGGAGACCAGATCCTTGTGCTCGTGCATCCTCCGTGCGAGCATCTCCTCTGAGAGATCATTCAAGTAGCCCGAAAAGCCCAAAGGCTTAGGAATCGGAGCACAAAGGTTGCCACCTCGCTTCTCGACGATGGCCAGCTGAGTCTTCCAGATCATCTGGTCGTCGTCCATCACCGGGTGGTACAAGGAGAGCTCGCAATCTGAGATCACCTTCAAGATGCGGTGCATCTCCTCCTCGGAAACCCAGCCCTCCACGAACGAGAGGTATGCCCCGAAGCCCATGCATGTGCCGACGGCCTGCCCGTGCAGCATGCCTGCTGGCAGCTCATAGCCCGGGCACCAGGTGTGTCCATATGCCTCTAGTCACAGTCCATGGTTGGGATAAGCATTAAAATCTACATGTCTAATCCTTCTTGGGTTTAACTACCCATAAACATGTAAAATGTTATCCAACTGTGGCAAAGACGCATGAGGTCGGCACTGATGGGTCTCCCAGAGGTTGCCATACTCAGATCGCACGTATCCCTCCATTGCCTTCCCAACGATGAGGTCGCACACGTCTTGGAACTCGGGGTCATCGACGCTGTCGCCTTCGGTCCCGAACTTAGTCTGCACTGCCCGGACACCATGGCGCTCCAGAAGCTCGAACAGCGAGAGGTCTTTCATGACTGCCATCTTGATGATCTCTGCCACGCCGTGGCGCAACCATCCGGGATGAAGAGTCTTCCAGAAGCCTCGATCTGGGATCGTCAGCACCGGTGGGTGGTAGGAGCCGTAGAGGTTCTTGTAGTCGTAGCCGTTGCAGCACACGCGTGGTGACGGGCCTGCGTCGATCCCAGAGACGATGGACGTGCAAAGCATCACGTACGGAGTGTTCCTGGAGTACAAAGATGTGGCAAAGCCTGCGATGTCTGCGATCACTCCTCCGCCCACGACTAGAAGCGGTTCATGACGGCCGAGGGAATACTTCTTCATTGCTACCAGAATTCTCTCGACGTCCTCAATGCCCTTGTCGACTTCGTTGCCACTGTAAACCAACTTGGTGAACTCGATGCCGTGGGCCGCGAAGTACTGGTCGATCTCCGCCCCGTAGTGTTCGTCCACTTTGTCGTCGACCACGGCCACGCACCGACCAAGGGGCTTGTAGACATCGTAGAGCAAGTGGTTGGAAGGGTCCAATACTTTCCGGGCAATCTTGATGGTGGTGGTGATAGTGGTGCTCATCACAGCCTCGATCGTGGAAGCGTCCTTCGTGGCCAAGGTCTGGGCATCGCACTGCCTGTAGATCGAAGTGGGATACACAGCATGCGGATCTGCATCTTCCAGGTGAGCAGCGTTCTCCATGTACTTGGCATATACCTCTGCTGGAAGACACTTACTCACTTCCTTCACAGCCTCCAGGTGTCTAGGGGACTTGCCCAGCCTCTCCTCAAAAGCCCTCAGGTCCTGAGTGATGTCCGTCATGATGCGCTCGGAAATGTTGGCCATCAAGATCGCCAGCTGGCTGACGGGCAAGTTCCAGAAGTACTTCAGCTGCTTGAGGGAGTGCAGCAAGTCCAAGTCATCCTTGCACGCAGAGCCAAACTCGTGCGAAAAGACTGGCAATCGTGACAAGGACACCAGCGCGTGGCGCACATCCTCGTCACAAAGTACATCCTGCAGCTGCTCCTCAGCCAGCTTCTCCGTCGAGACGATGTCCTTCATCGCCCTGGGTGCCGCCCGCATCGAGGTCGTGACCGTCACGGTATTGATCTGGTCCAGCTTATAGTAATTGATCTCTGTCGTGGGCATGACCTCAACCACGTCACCACCGCGGGCTCCGAGCTTCGTCTTCCGTGGCCGGCTTGTCCGCGCACCCACGCATGCCCAGGCGCTCACTGCCGCCACGCCCAGCGCGGCCCCCCGCACGCCTGATCCCCTTGAGCTGCTGGGGACTCTCGGGGCTGCCAAGCCCGGGCCGTCGACAGCGCCCCGCAGCGCCGGAGACCAAGATCCGGAGGCGGCGGAGGTGCTCGCGACGAAGGCCTCCATGTTTGTAGGCGAAGATCTGGCTGCGCCGCGATTGCAAAGCCTACTCCAAAGGCCTCCCCTGTTGAGCAGAATGCTTCCGGGCTCGAAGCTCTTAACACTAGTAGCGAGACCAAGGGCCAGCATCATGCGGGCCGATCTGCGAAACGGCCCTCTCTACCGAAGCTTCGAAATCGTCCAGCCGCCCTGCCGCCCTTTCAACCGTAAACCATGCGATAAGCTCTCAACACCTCACCTTTAATCAAACCCACAAGCACCCTTCATAGACCCTAAAAGCAAGTCTCTCAAGCCCA